AGCACTGCTATCCATAGTACAAGGGCCTCTACCCTCTCGCCTCCATCGAAATGAGACCACCACGGCCGTAATCAAGCCCGGGACCTTCAATCCAGCAGCCGACCACCCTGTCCACGTATCCACTGAGGCGGATCTTTTAACTTTTCTGCTCTGTTAGCCGTCGCCGTAGTACAGTAGTGATGTTGCTTGGCTGCTGATCCTAAAGGGGCGGGTTCGATCCGGTCGTGGCTGTCGTATTTCGATGAAGTGAAATGCTAGATGACCGTGCAAGTACTGACGCGAAAGTTATTAGTTGTCGTTCCCTTTGTGTGTGGGGGGGGGGGGGGAAGAGCAAATAAAGCTCCGAGCTCTGAACGGCCAAGCATTAACACACCTTCAAAAAATATTTGAATTATATTAGTAAAAGCTATTTTCGGTGTGTCCTGCACGTCTCAACATGGTATTATCTCGTCATGTGCTAGCATAAATTATGGGGACGTTTCCACAGCTACTCTGTGGCTCCGTCAGTGACGCACAAGTGGCCATGTCGGAAGTTTGGGCACCTGGCATACCAACCAGTCAGACTGCTACGTGAAGTCACCATTATCAGCACTGAAGTAGAGATAAGGTCGATGTCAGTAGGAGCACAATGGGAAAATTGACTTTAATGTCAAAATAAAATCTTGTAAGCGAAATTGCTGAGCTTCACACTTGCGTATATTTTGGGACGTTAAACTCCTCATATCATCGCACTTGCATATAGCCATCTCCGCAGGCAGTAGATTTGTACAGCAGAGCCAACTCGCGTTCGTAAAATGGTTACAGTACCCTTTGAAAAACTCCCAAGGTCACAATTTTTAGAGGTCAACATTATGATATAGCTCATAAAGATGTCGTGGTTTTGGCCTGTAATACCCCAAATATTATTCTTTCCTCCTGCATTAGGGCATCATTTTGTGTGTGACCTCATGATTACATGCATTCTCTTTATCTCTCGGAGAGTTATATATTGCCGCAAATAAAATAAATAGAGCTACAAACACGCATGTTACAAAACGGCAGTCCCCTCACATTGCGGTATTGTGGCCCGTTGCACTAGTGTATCGCGGTGAACTTCGATTGGTGCAACGCCCATAGTTCATGATTATAAAATTAGGAAATCTTCAGGTCGAGAGCCATTGTTTCAAAAAGTTTGTACTATCAATTATTTTGCCTTTTCTTTGGGACGTGATAATGCGTAATTTTAGTGTTTGTAGTGAAGACCATTACATCGCTAGGTCTGGTGGAGAAAAAAAGCAAGAATATTAAAAATTTAGGTTTTGCCGTGCACTCGCCATATTTGCAGCTTTTTCCTCCACTTTAATACTACAAGTGTATGACGAAGAGAAAAGCAATTAAGGTATTTATTTTTCTTGTGAATATAATACGCTGTAACAATATTTTTACGACCCTTTGTCAGAGAAGCTTTGAGATATTTGTTTCTTTATATGTATGTGAGAAATATTTGTCAGGTTTTCCATTAAATACCTTGCAGCCTGTGCCCGCAGGACATGAAGACAAAGAACGCGGTGATTAATTGCCCTAAGCGATAATTAAAGCAGAACAATGGGCTCAAACTTACGTCAAGCATGCGGCAGCGTGAAACACAATAAAGACGCATATGTTCAAACCACCCATGAAGCAGTAGCCTCCTCGCACTAACTTTTAATATGAGCTTATTCTCACCGTCAGGCTCAATGATCAAATGCAAACACATTCCACGCTGCACTTGGTTCCAAAAGTCAGAATATTTGACCGCACCTCAATCGAAGGTATAGAGGGCAAGAGTCACTCGAGTATTGAAAACATGTTAAGTAAACGGGGTAAGCACAAATGGTATGCTAACGGGCATGCCCCCCTCACAGGTATTCTCGACAAGAAAGTGGGAGGCGTGTATTTTCTGATTCGCAAAGAAGTTGCGGGCAACACTTACAAATTCTACACCATCAGTGATAGCGTAGCATGATCTGTGGTAAAGCTGAGCAAAATATCAAAACTCATTGTAATACACAATTACGCTACAATGCTAAGCCAGAGTGGAACAACACTTCGATGATATCGAATGAGCAATGAAAAAGGCGCGTACCGAGTACATCATAGTCACAGGAGGCTTCAATGGGAAAGTAGAGAGAAAAGAAAAGGTGTTAAAAGCTACCAGTTACTGGAGTGTTGACTAGAGGAATAATAAAGAAGATCAGTTATTGTAATTCGCAAAAGAAAATTGACTCCTCGTAATGACCACCTTCTACCGAAAAGATATAAATAGCAAGTGGATAAGCACTACCGGAGAATCAAAGACCGAAATATATCGTATATATTCGGCGACCCTGAGCATCGAAGTAGTAGGTGAGGTAAAATATACGGATCACACGTAAGTCACGCTGAGGGTAGCCGTCCATCATAGAACAACCAGAGCAATATTGACCACTAAAAACAAGGCAACCTTGATGAAATCCGATAAAAAGTGAAATTTAGCTTTGTCACTGATGACAAATACACTTATAAAGTTTTGCTTCATGAAACCGCAACTAGACGAATTTCTAAAGTAGCAAATGAAGTTCCAGACCGATTACCGAAGTTAACTTTCCAAAACAACAAATACTTTAATTGGGAACAAAAAAGGCAGGAAGGCGAAGATGGAAGCTTGCGATAAAAAAATTCGTAAATAGGTTTGTGTGCTGGAGCCGAGGTTTGGTAAAGAAGCAATAAAGCAATAATTAAGAAATATAAAGGAATACTATTATAAAATAATTGACCTATAAGACTCGATTTCACTCACATAACAAAGCTGATCAACCAGAAAAAAGCGACATAAGGAACTACAACGTCAAAGGTGTAGAGGTAGCAGTGAAAAAATTGGAATCAATACAGCTGGAAGTAAACTGTTTATAAGAAGGTCTAAAATGCATGTACTGAACAATGAGCATAGCTATAGTATCCGCAATTTCAACGCTATGGTAGAGATGGCAAACTAGTACAGCACTTTTCAAATAGGTCATCTGTCTTCCGGGCAATTCAATGCCGAGAAAGACATGAAGTTCTATATGTTTAACTATGAGGTTGGAGTGGCCATAATTGATATTCCCCGTGGAATCGTCATCGGATAAAGCGGAGTAGCAGCCGATTCAATGAGATGGAAGAAATTTCACATAGAACAATTGTCCGGCACCTTGAACTCAATACCTAAAACCTAAACACGGGTCTTACGTACCGAAACCGCAAGACTTTGAGGCATGCCATAATGAAGGGCTCTAGAAATTTTGACATATCTTGTTATGTAACGTGCACTGACATCGCACAATGCATGGGATTTTAGGATTTTGCCTCCTTCTAAACGTGACTGCCACGGCTCGGATAACCCGTGACTTTTGGATCAGCAGCCGATCACAGTAACCTCTGTACCCCAAGGGCGTACAATGCCTCAAGACATGAAAGTTTTAGTCAGCTGAAAGAATTGCATATTGGCATTATACGCAAGAGATATTTGATATATAGGCTCATTATGTCACTTTCAGTACGATGCAAAATGTTCACGGAGGTAACTTCACACAAGATAAAAAAAAACATTTTACTTTAACCAACCTAGGTAGCAATCCGGAATGAAGGAGGTGTATTCTACAATGAATCTGAGGAAAGCTGTCACCCAGCTTATTCAGAAATATGTGGACAGCAACAAGCCCCTTCCCATAGATTGATGTATTACCAAAAGGAAGTTGACTTAGTAGAACCACCAGCTCTCTTTGAAGAACTATGACACCAAGGAGTACTAGGAACAAATGAAAATACGTTAGCTAACATCTATAAACACTCCATAGATACTCTGCTTCTCCACAAGACTAGCTGTACAACAGCAGTAGAGTAATGGCTCCGACAAACATGTGATCTTCTAATGCATGCTTCGTAAAATTGTTCAAAAAGGTCGATTTGGTTGGAATCGGGAAAAACAGAATGGGGAATACCTTACAAACGTATACGCTGTGTAAACGGCGCGATGCAGTTCAGTAATGTTGGCGAGGAATTGCGTGATATGATCAAGGAGTAACGAGAAAATATTTAAAAAAGGCTTACTATGGATATGGGAAAGCTAAAGGTGATTCTCAATATACTGGCAAAAGCGAAACAGTTCATGGTTGCCACCAGCCTGTGATCTCTCTGTGGATACCTTGGTATATGTCTGACAGGGCAGCCTTCTCACGAAGAGAAAATTTAGATACGAATAAAAATTGGCAAGAGCGCCTACTGCAGACATTCCTAGATAATAAAAAAGAGTTTCCCCCTTTCTCTATATACATTCAGTACTGACATATTGGCCAAAAATTTTCGATGGAGGCGGAAATGTTGTAGGCTCGTGTGCTCAGATTTGGTGCACGGTAAAGAACCCCAGGTGTTCGAAATTTCCGGAGCCCTCCATTACGGCGTCTCTCATAATTATGTGGTGGTCTTGGGACGTTAAACCCCAGATATCAATTAATCAATTATATTGGCGAAAAACTTGGAGGATTACAAAAAAACTGGGTGAAGCAGCTAAGAACTACGCGACGTGCAATCGAGCACAAAATGATAGGCGTAACATTGAGCGACAGGAATAGAGCAGAGTGGATTGAAGAACAATAGAAAATAAATGATACTTTGGCAGACATTAGGAAGATAAAATAGGCGTGGGCCGTACACGTAATATGAAGGACGCACAACCAGTAGTCAGTTCGAAGAACGGAATGAGCACCAATAAACAGCAAACGTAGCTGAGGGAAGACGGCAGGGTTCAGATGGACCGACGACATGTAGGAAGTTCCGTGGTGTAAAGTGGAACCAGCTCACTCTAATTTGGTTCAAATCGTACTGAGGTGTCTTAGTCTGCCCTGCTCTATCTAGACTGAAAATTATCATGATGACAACCGCATGAACACTGACATCACGTGTTTTTTTTTTCACTTTTTAATTTGACGCCACGAAGTGTTCGTATTATTTTTATTATCGTGTAGACAGCAGCAGCTGTGCAGTGGTGCGCCCTGCCCAAGCAAGGCGTTGACAGTCAAGACGTGTTGACAGCCAAGATTTATTGACAGCGAACACGTGAAAGAAGGCAAGCAAGGCGAGTGCCATGGTGCAGTTCTACGTACGCGAATACACAAAGACTACCAATGGACGGCTCAACATCATCGAGATGGTGAGTTGGCGCTCAATACATTTCTGTGGTTTCTGTGGCACACGGACTGATTCATCACCCTGTGTATACTGTTCGATCACAGCAGACCACTAGTGCGTACAGGAGCTAACTCGAGAGTGACGGGCACGTTACTCTATACTCACCTCCACGCTTGTTCCCATCTAATGCTAGAACCTTTCGTGTATTGTACGTCCTTTCACCGAAAAGAATTCGTATAAAATATCGCTGTTGCATAAAATGTTTACATAAACCTAGCAAGCAGAGCGATTCTAAGATACACCAAACCACGCGGGATGTCATATGCAGCTGTGACTTTGTGTATACACAACGTAACAGCTCTATTTGCTCTCCAATGACCGAGCAAATGCCACCGCCACATTGACATTACCACTTGTGGTTATATACCCTCTTGCTTGCTACCAGAGTTTAAGTACCATCAAGTTTCAAGTATGCACCGTACTACTGGATCTCTAAACCAAACCTGGAAAAGCCAGACATTGTACGAGAATAGTCGGGAATCTCAGAATATTCAGAAATTTTAAAGCATCTGTGCATAAAAACAAAGAATACACGACAATTTGCGTAAGGCACACAAGTGATTCTTTTGAGATAATCCCAGTAGAACGACCGGAAACAGTTATAAAGACGTCATATGCGGCTTATCAAGCTGATAAAAAATACGGGGAAAATTGAACCGAGTTCGGCGGTGTGCGCCGACGCAGTGGAAACAAACGGAAATTGAGCGCAGAAGTTAGTCTATATTTTTATTTTTCAGTGGTGCAGAGGAAGTTGCCTAATGCGCTTGGTACTATTGCGCTTGCCTCGACTTCTCCATATTGTCGTCAACGTTTCCTAAAGTGTAGAATTGCTGACGCATGCATGCAATATATTACAATGCAACGTTGTTTAAAGATCTGCAGGCGAAAAGAAATCATACTCTGTACATGGGACAGCGATAAATAAGCGGCATTATTTTAAAGTGACAATATAAAAGTAGCTTTGCGGAATGAGTTCTAATCAATTGAGAATGGATGAGTGCGCGTAAATGTGCGGATCCATATAAAGCGCAGCCGCGTTTGATGACATCGGGACTGTGCGGTGCGATGCAGTTGCTCGGCGCGATTCTCCGGATCCTGTACGGCACCTTTGGCACAATCACGCCGAGCGAGGAGTTCCTCTGCACCTGCGCGGGCATCTTCGCGACAAACGGACTCTTCTTCCTCGTGTCATCGATAATGAGCGTCACGACGGCCCTCATGCTCCCCAGACAGTTCTACGTGAGTGAGCTCTGTCATGGCGATGCATCCAAACCTGTGAACACACACCTTGCAGAACTACACTATTCCGCATAGTGCTATAGACCACCATTTTTAAAGTTGAATTGTTTTTTACTGATCCAATTGTCAACTGCTAAAATCTCCACTTCTTTAAAACTTGTCCTCGCAGTACGGAGCGTTAGGGGCCTTATCGATGAATATGAGCAGACTTCTGCACAACTATATTTCACTCAGTTTCCTGAAAGCTAATTAGATCTCTGACTGGCTTACTAACTCACAGACCCTTTTTTATATTAGCGATTGACTCTACGCTGATTTACCTCAAGTATACATAATAGCAAACATAGTTCACTTGTCGTGGTAATCACGAGAAATTCTGCACGAGTTAACTTATGGTAGAGTCCCATTCAGCATCTGCTGCAGGCTGTCCTCTCGCATGAAGGACTTGTTGGGACAAACAACCGCTGATTCTGGCAGACATGTGCCTACTTCAAAATATTGCGTATCTCTAATATTAGGAAACAAATTTTTCAGGAACGAAAAAGACTGGTGGGCTATCGAAGATTGTAAATTACAAAGCTGCAGGTGCTAAAGCTGTAATACAAATGCTTAAAGCTGCAGTTTTTTTCTCTCTCTCTCTCTTTCTGCGATGATTTCTGGGTTCAAATTGCGAAGCTCGACGTAATATGACAAAAAAGAGCTTGGTTACTTCTAAGTTCAAGCTGTGTGGATAGTGCAAAGCTATCTGAAATCACATGGTTTACCAAATGAGCAAACTTATCGGTCATCAGTAAGAATGAAACAATGTACGTACCATTAAAACTGAGGTCTGAATCTCAAACCTTAATTAGTCCTAGGATACTATACGCAGATCGTGCAGGTATTGCTGTCGTAGCGTTGCAGGCGTTTTTTAACGGGAGCGCGCAGGATGTTGGCGCACGACGCATGTGCCTAGGAAACGAAGTTTTGCGTTCGCTGTTCTAGAACTCTATTATTGCGGTATAAATTATATAAACAGCCTTGGCTGGTTTTTACCGTTTGCGCTGCTGCCGTACTGCACTGTATATGTATACGTATCTGTATAAAATAAAACTCAAGAAGGAAAAAAAGTCACAGCTGTTCTGCAAAGAGAAGCAATGAACGCGATAGCACGCGTTCAAAATCATGCGCACAATGGAAAGCTGATCCAAACGTGCCCCACGTTTCTCACGCACAAATAGACAGATTTAGTTGCGCGTCTGCAGCAGCCGTATGGACGCAGCCTGGAAGCCATTTGCAATGGGAGGCTGCGTCCGTACATCGGCGGTGAACGCGCAACTAAATCTGCGTAATGACGCATGAAACGTATAGCAGCGGCCACGTCTGTGCAGAATGCTTGAGCAGCCGGCTTTTGCTCTGCGGGCCGAAACCTTGAAGCAGTTTCGCGCTCTTTCGACCTTCGACGCAAAAATTTTGGTCTGTCTGTCTGTCTGTCTGTCTGTCTGTCTGTCCATTCTTACCGGCATCGGGTACTTCAAACGACTGACCCCATCCGCAGCGACCACCAATGTTGCTGAAGGTTGAGCGTTCATGCTTGTGCAATTGTGAATTAAAAGCAATTATTGCGCATGTCTGGAGCACCATAACAACACGCATATATTCTGCATATGCATCTTTTACTAGCAAACGCATATCTAAGTAATTTTAAGGGCCGTAGCGCTTTTCACGCTGCGCTTACCATGCCACGCTTGCACGGAACGGGTTGTGTTTCCAACGCTTTGCTAAGACGAGATGGTGGTGGCACCTACCTGTCGCCTCACGTTCTACACCTTATCACCTCTGAGACGGGCGAACACGGCCACGCGCTTTGTTTTCCAAAAGAAACTGCCAGATGGGGCTCATGGCTCACGTTTGATAGAGTCACTGTATATGCTACCATTAGGTAGTAGAGTTGCGCCACTGTTTTCCGGGCGCCGCTCGCTCCGTCTACAGGACTTCAGCACCCCTATTCGCCGAGCGCGATCACTTGGTCATAAGTGGTTCAAATGCACTGCGGAGAAGCCAACGCTACGATGATTCCGGGCAGATCAAGCGTGGTTGACATCGGCTATTGTTTCACTTCAGCTGTCGTGAGCCGCGATTGTAATACGAGCGCTATAGAGAGCCGTGTGTAATATGAGCGTCACATGGGCACTCTCGATCACTGTACAGCTTGATTCAGTAGAAGGTGATACTACACATGGCTCCCTCACACAGTTAAGGAATGAGTCCAACATGATGAAAAAAAATCATCTGTAACTGGTTCAATTGCGTTCAAAAGTCCAAAAATAATTTCATATTTGTAAATGGAAAAAACAGCGGAAAAGGCGAAGCTAGTGTAACCAATCATAAATATGTATCTCACTGGTTCAACGAGCTACGCCCTTTGTTTTATTATTACATACCAAGAACATAAGCAACAAATCAAGGCTTCCAAGTGTGACTGGAGCAACCGAGTTTCACTCTTGCTTTAAAAAAATTTAAAGAAAGCGAAAAAATAACTAAAACAACGCTAGTACCATAATCACTCAATATTGAGAGACTATGTAGCACTCAAGGAAAGCAAAGAGAACAACAGGAGCGCTGCAACACGAGCGCTGTCCTCTTTGCTTTCCTTGCCTCGCCTCTCGTTTTCACGTTTCTTCGAGCACCTTCGTGCTCGCGCTGCAGCCCTTATCACCATGGATTCTAATCAACTAGCCCAGATAGCCGTTCTTCTACTATGTAGCACTCAAGCGCGAGCGTTGCTCCTACGCGGGTGGGGTGTGGCTTTCCCGCAAGACATTTGAACCCAAGATGGTGTACCTTGGCGCAACTCTGCTACCTAAAGGTAGCATATATAGTAAATTTAACGTGTGACGTGACTTGATGCACTCGTGAGCCTCCGCTGCCCGCTCGAGGCACTCTAACGCAGTGCCTCCAGAATACCATTCACCGATTTTCTTGCGCAGAACATCAAATAAATGTTTTGTTCACTCTCTCCACAAGCAAGACTATCGTCTTTCGACGACATTTGCAGAATACATACGAGGCCAATTTTTTATATCTACCACTTACCGCTGATGATGGGCATCTCGAAGGGAGGGGGGTATTATCGTGTTTTTAGGATTACCCGCAAGATAGTGCATAAAGCGGTATGGAGAGGGAAACTATCGAGTTTTCATCATTACCAGCAAGATGGCGCAATGAGCGCGCGGTGGCGTGCGTTCTCATCTCTCACGCGTACTTTGCTTCTCAGAGTGGAAAAGTTGGGAGCAGGCTCGCGCACCCTTATCTCGCGCTTAGGGGGGGGAGGGGGGCGGACGATCATACGTTTTGGTTGGGGTGGAATTCTCACTAGAACGTTTCTGGTGTAGTTACCGGGCACACAAAACTCCCTGCAATTGTTGCATACTCTCCGTTTGCGAGAAGGGCGCGCTTTTCCGACACAGTGAAGTAACAACTGAGACGCTTATTCGGGTTCATCTGTACTTGTGAGTGCATTTCGTGCGTCATTTGTGTTTAAAAAACGCGGGACATGTTTCGATATGCTTGCCATTCGGTGCGTGACCTTCCAATTTTTCGCTATGGCGTTTATTGCTTTGCCTTTGTGGCAAAGCGGTGACTTTTTGTTTGAACAGCGTGTTAAGCGTCTAGTTGTAAACGTTGTTTGTTATCTCTCGTCACGTGTGTGTTGTTTTCGTCTGTCATTAGTGCGTGAGCAGCGCGCTGCACGTTTCGATCTGCTAGCCGTTCTCCGCGTTACATTCCAAGTTATTGCTATCGCATTCATTGCGTCGCCCTTGCGACGAATATGCGAATTTATTTTAATGCAATATCGTCAAATAGCCTGCATTGCAGAAAATACAGCGTCATGATTTGTGACCTATAGTACGCGTACAAAATATCTGTATTCAAACCATTGCCAATGCGAACCAACCGGTTCGTGCCGAAATCCAACCCAGGCGCTTTACGTGGCAGTCATGTATTCGACTATACTGACATGGCAGTGCTTCATACTGCTTCGGGAAAAAGACCCTTGACGCGCGACATATCGGATGGTGAGAAGTCACATTGAAAGACTAATATTGTGAGGCTGAAGCATAAAATCTGACCAGTCGCCACACCTGTGAGCTGTGTAACAAGTGGGTAGTATAAACCTGCCCCTCTTGTCTATAGCTTAGCCATAACTTATTAACATCAACCCTATCAGCCACATAACCAAGAAAATGTGCAGCCATACGTACGTGCGTATTCCTTTACAGACGCGTAGTAGGTACTTCACTACCTCACAAAATAGTGAATGTTGATGCAGTGGGCACAGTGCAATGGTACTTGCAGATTGCGCTCTAAGAGATACTAGTACGGCCAATGTCGTGCTCAGCCACGTTTTTCTAGGCACGGCTGAGGTGTCTACCGAAACGCGAAGCATTGAAAGCGCATAAGGAAGTTATGCAAATAGGGAAGCGTACATTGGCGGGCTAGTTGGATAGACATTTCTAAAGCTTGAACTGTGCTAGATATGGAACAACCGAATACAAGGACACAGTACGAACGCAGATTGTCAACTGCTCAATTTAGTGGATAGTCTGCATTCGTCCTGCATTATTCTATTTCCGCGTGCCGTCTCTCGCGCAGCTAAAGTTTCCCCGGAGTGAATAGGACCTGATATCTTTATCACGTTTCGATTTTCAACGAAAGCTCAATCCTAGTTCGTGGTCTTGTCTCTTGATTCACCAATTCATAAAACAATAACTAAGGCTAACCGAAGTGAGGAGTAGAGGGGTAGTAATACAACACCAGATGATAAATGGCATTCCACAGACCGAAGGAAAACATCACAGTGAGCAAGAAAAGGGCCCTGTCACGCTTTTCTAAGAAAATTTTGAATGGCGTCATCTTTAAAAAGTTAAATGCCTCTAGAAACAAAAATTTATTTTGTCAAGTAGGAACGAAGTTACAGGGACTTGTCGCACTCTGTAATTGCTTTCTCTCTTCCTTCG